AGGACCACTTTTCCGTAATACGATTTGTTTTTGCAAATTACATCACGGTCACAAAAAGTTTATTCAAAAGTTGGTCCTCGGATGGGAAAGTGTTGAAAGTATTTTTTAAGTCCGGGAAACCCCATCACTTTCATAGATATAGTGTATATGGCTATATTTGCAGTATCATATTAGCAATACCTAATTTCTCAGCAGTTTCAAAATTCATATTCAATTGGTTTTGTATCTTTTGTATGCATTTTTGCTACCCGAAATGCTTTACTCCTTAATTTTTTTCCCGTTTTCATAAATGCCAACTTAGGGAAATACGGGCTGTTTTCCGCCATACCTCTTTACCCACTGCCATCGTCTATATATATATAAAATATTGCTTTGTCGTCAAACGCTAGCCCTAGTGTTGTGTTCACCATTGTGGGCAAAAGTTAATACCGGGCAGACGTTTCCCAGGATACAGTAATAATTACGGTTGATATATTTAATGGTCTCCTTAATGCTGTCAGGAATAATGGGGTCCACTATGACGAGGTTAATGACTTTCTTTACTAGGTCACGATCAACTTTCACTATGTTTTTCGCTTTTTCTTTGGGCAAGGTGTCGTCGACGGGATCAGTAGTTGATTCAAATTCCTGCCATAATAGAGATACATGTAGAAAGTAATTGAAATGTTGTTATTTATAATTCTGTGCCAATACATCATTATAGTACAATTATTTACTTTTAGCGATAATAAGGTTCACATGCAACTAAACAGACCTGACCAGGAATTTGTTCACAGGTCAATTAATAAATCACTTATCAGATATGTAATTATGTATACTTTCAAAAGTCAATATTTCGGGTGTCCCAGTGGCTCGGTGGTATAATGCATGGACAAGGTAGTTCAGTAGTGCGTGACCGCCAGAGAGCAATAGACCGATATAGTGTTTAGGTTTGAGCCCTGGTATGTCTATAGAGTTTCCTGCTAGATCTCTCTGGTGACATGATGGTTTTCTCAGTCCTTCGGTTTCCTCCATCATAAAAAAACCCCTGTGTAGGTGTAAATAATAAAATTCCCCGTCTCCTGTAAATATTCCCGCTCGGCCATCTCTGAAAAGAGCTGATGGCTTATATGGTAACCGAGGGTAAATAACGTCCATTATTATTATAATATTAAATTAACAGAAATATACATCAAAATATGCAAATAAGTTAAAATAATTAAAGAAAAAAAACTATTAAGTTATTAACAGACCTGTATGCAATTTTAGTGGAATCCACTGCACAGTGACAAGTGTAATATAGGTAAACATATGGTCGTGATTTAATTGTTTTTATTTAATTTAAAAAATATATCTATCTACTCCAAATAATGACACGGTACTTGTTATTGTAATGACTCATTTGTTTACATCATTATAATTTTATATGATGTCACATGTTTGTGAGAGGTTGAGTATGAAGCTGTATGTAATAAAAAAATAAGTGAGAAGACAAAAATGATATATTTAAGTTGTTACCGTTAATTTCATATTATAAATTTATGAGATTATGTGCAATAAAAACAATAATCTGATTATTAATATCTGCTTTCTTATTCTTATGATTAATTTTGAAAACATAAAGCAACATGGCCTAAAGTATACACGGGACGTGTCCAAGAAGGTTAGGATATTTATATTGCTGTCCAGGAGCCGGGCCGGAACCAGAGAGTGAGTCAACAAGGGAACCATCATCATCACGGCATGTGTACTTGTCAGCTTGTACATGTGGGTGCAGCTCACTGCATAGCATATAGTATACATACAAGGCACAATGATTACAAATATATTGTGGACAAGTATTGACATACAAAATAGGCGAATGTTCTCACAAGAGGTTATCACCAGAACGGCACCTGACCGGTGAAGTGAAAGTGAAACCACAGACTAAAAACTGAAAAAAGCCGACTCGGCTGCTTCGTGAACATTATGTTATTGACCACGAATAATGCTTTAGGTATTGCTTTTTTTCTATTTCAGGTGTGGGAATATAATATTAGAATAACACACATACCTCAAACAGTTCGTTTAATTCATGTTGTGTGAAATCGATGCTTAACAAAATTTCTATCGACAGCACTCGAGTGTTTACCAATGGCGAATAGACGGTACGAGTTATCGGCCTTGATATTGTATGACACCCGGTGAGGGCACTGCGAAATCGGTAACATATTTTCCCGCCACTGGGAGTCGGCGGTCCCTTTACTTTAGGTCTCTGGTTAATGCTACGTTTACATTATGTTACCGGCAGCCACGGCAGTCCCGTTTGCCCGAAACCTAGTGCGCCGTGGGATTTTGGCCATTTTTTCTCTGAATTCAAGTCTTGGCAAGTTTTCCCACTGTCTGTCACGGAAAGGCCGTGGGGGAAAGGGGCTGCTGAGTCCCGGAGGCTCCAAGGCGCACTACGGTTCGGCCCACGGTCTAACACGGATGCCAGTACGTTCCCTCTAGGCCCGTCACGTTCTGATGGGGTCCCTCACGTTTCTCGAGTTCTGATGAAGGTCCGACACGTTTTTCACGTTCTGTCAAGGCTTTCCACGGATGAACCGTGAACACCGGGCAGCTTTGGAGCACGTTTGTGCCCAAGAAGACCTCCCAAGCAAAAGCAATCATTATATCTTGGGACAAATCGACGAGATAACATCATGAATTCCCAAGATGAAGAAGATTTTGTGTACGAAACGTACTGCGCCGTGGGATTTTGGCTTTCATATACTTCCTCCCAGACCACGCGCGCGCGCGCGCCATGTCAGACCGTAGTAGAACGCAACGCGCCGGGCCCGCAAACCGTCACACACCGGGACGCGCCGGATTGAACGCGACGAAACAGCTACCATACACCCTAGCTTGCCGAGAGAACCGTGACAAAACGTGGCAAAAGGGGACAAAACGCGCAGCAACCGTGAGCTAGCCGTGCCAGAACGCGCACTAAACGCGATAGAACTTGACAAAACTTGAAAGGACTGTGGGATGCCGGGAAATACACATGCTTCCCGTCCCACTACGGACCGCCTCCAAGTTATGTTACGGCCTATTACGTACTGTCACGTTTTGTTGCGTTCACCCGGTTTTGCTACGGCCTACTAGGTTTCTCATCCGCACCGTGACTGCCGTGGCAAATTTGACAGTTAAAAATTCTGGCCCGGCGACAACGGTAATCACGGCCTGTCACGTTGGCCCATCCCGTCCCCCCGCGTTATCTCACGTCCATCCCGTTTTGTCCACGTTGGCCTGAAACGTGCACGTGATTGCTGTGGCCACCGGGAACATAATGTAAACGAAGCATAATATTTTGCGTTCATTTTATCGATTCTAAATGCGATATCGCATAATGAAAAAAATAACATCGCAAGATGATATTTGATACAGTAGAATTGCCAAGTAAACAAGCCATGGACTGGAGCTATGATACCTAAATCGTTTTTAAACAGTTAAATGTCTACAACGTCATGGATCATGTATATTTATACTTTGATGTCAAAGGTCAAAGTTTCAAATTATAGCGTCATTCATTTCCGTTTAATTACATAGAAAGTATCTGGCTCAAATACATTCCAATAGTATTTTAGTAATGTAAATAAAAAACAACAACACATGAATGTATACACAATATTACCAAAAACATTTATTACAACATCTATCTGCGCACTGGTAGCTATTTGGTACCGCATACAGTTAGCTGATGAGTACTGGATACAGTTAGCTATATAGTACCGGGTACAGTTAGCTATTTAGTACTGGGTACAATTAGCTATTTAGTACTGGGTACAGTTAGCTATTTAGTACCGGGTACAGTTAGCTGACGAGTACTGGGTACATATGTCGTCCGACGTTGTCTCTGCGTATCCAACTGAAGTGTTCAGTCCGGAACCTGTACAGAGATAAAATATAAGAGTAGAAATTGTTTGATGAGATGTAGTGGGACCGGCTTGTGTATGATTTACTGGCATGACCAGGTGATCCACGCGATAATAAGAAAAAAAAACTTATTATAAATTATTGAATGGTCAAGGAAATTAATCCATATATATAAGAAATATATTTCTCCCACAGCCATTGTAGGTTTCCTCATTTTCGAGCCATTGAATAAATCCGCTAGCAGTTGTTTAGTATTATTGGTTACCAACTAGAGGGTGAAACTCTGAACATAATTTCATTGCTCAGTCTTCTAATTATGACGTCAAATAACAATGATCTGTGACGTCAGCTTCCATTGTGACGTTATAGTTCACTGCAAATGTATCCCTGATCAGAAATTGGAATAACGTATTCCCAAGATAAACAAATGATTTTCTAGATAAAATATCGGAACAATGTGGGAGAAAAAGGTCCACAAACCTGTGATGGTAGATCATCATGTTTATCTAACTCTCGATAGTTAGTTTTAGAATTGCAAAGCACACTCGATCAACCTCGTGTCTTTATACAATTTGAGATTTTATTTACTCGAGTTAGGTAAACATGATAACCGACCAACACTGGTTTGAGAACCTCTTTGTAGTAATAACTTTACTACAATATCTCATGTATTGTAGATATGTTGACCACCTGTATTTACCTGTAACGAGATTATTCATGTTGCAGTAGTTTGTTCCGGAGTCCAGGTATGCGTACCAGGTCCTTGATCTAGAGTACCCCTAATGATAGAAAGTTGTATACGAGTTCTCTTCTGTATGCTATTATAGTAAACATACGTGTATTTTAAACAAAACATAGCTTAACCGAGGCAATAACTCCTTTACTGCATGTAGACAGGTTTATATAGCACAGCAAACGAAATGTGTGACGTTTCGTACCTATACTAAACCTTATTATACAAAAGGTTTTTCGTTTTGTTTTGTCTGATGAAGACGGCAGATTACATATCGTGGTAGTCATAGTAAAGTCACACAGACACATCTCACTGGTTGTGTTATATGAGCCTGTAAGTTATATCAGCATTAGGAAATGTTTGGGAATTATCCCTATATACTCATATATAAGAGAGTAAAGTGTTTAGGATACACTTCTTTGTCATATCATAATGTATTTTGTTATAATCATGGCCTTACTGTAGAATCACAAATATATATATTTATCGATAATAAGTATACATACTTCGACGCCACATCCGCTTCCCTTAGTGGTGAAGGCAAAACTGATGTCATCAATGTAGGGATGGAGAGGAGTCTCGTGCGTGGCCTTCAGCACAGAGGCATCGCTTGATACCATCTAATGGTAAGAATACAATAAATAAGTAAGTATAACAAAATTAAGATGTCAGACTGGTTTTCCTCGTTTCGAGTCAGACAATGAGTTCTCAATCACAAAGCATAGCTATTTATCAAGACATGCATGCTCAGTCACTTCTTTTTTATATTTTGTTTTATTACCGACTTCATAGGGGGGAAAAAAAGAAATGCAATGCAATTGTACTTCACCCCTCATGGCAAATACTTTGTATGCTATAGCATAGAGCGTGACAACAGTTTTGAAGTTAAACCGCCCGGTCGAAACAACGGCTGTAACCAAGTTACAAGTTTCAAGTTGTTTTAATTTCCGAATGCAGTACATCATATATGTTACATGTATACATAGTACACAAAACATATTTCAATTTTCAAGATGGCGGAGGACAATTCCATATTAGCATTTATCGCACACAAATGAATACATACTTCAGCAATATTACTGCACGAGGGTTTTTCTTTTGGCGGTAGCATACCGTAAATAACTACCCAATCTAGGTAATGGTTAAATATTTCAATTAATTTACGCACTGGGGCGTCGGATAATAATATTGCTTAATGTATGTGTTTCTCAGTATGGAATAAGCAGGACAAGTAAGATTAAAATGTATTTCATCTTCTATATAATTTTTGTCGCAAGCTAAACATATTCTTTGACCTCTCGGAACCCAATTTTAACGACCAGATTCGATGTTAAGGGAATGCGCCTGCATGCGATACTGACTCAACAATATTTTGGTAATAGAAAATAAAGGCTTTACTAAATAGAATTAGATATTATAAGTATCGATAAGATGTCTATATGAATAACGTTTAGAAGATGTTTCAAACGAACAATGCAATTCTTGAATATACGTTTCCACAAAGTGTTTTTCATTTTGAACATATTGGACATCCCAGATTAAAACCCATTCTATATATATTATGTTTGACATGATAAACCCCGTTAAATTTACAATTTGACTTTTTGACATTAAGCTCAATTGGTGCATCATAACATGATTTGAGTACAGCGGTTACATCTTCCATATGCACTGTATTACATGTATATGGTCTAAACATGTTGTTTGCGACCGGTTCCGTGGTCCGATTGAAGTCATGCATATGGCCTGCAGCAGTATTGCCGATTGCTAAAATACACCTGAGTACCTTCTCCAGCACGCACCCATATACTACACGTATACCTTAGATGATAATAGGACTTTTTACTTATTCTCTCTGAAAATTTATCATATTTGGAATATATTATAAAAAAACACTTACTGCGTATAAACATTTCTCGTTGAGTTCAGGTGTGTTGATCTTACACAAATCTCTGCTTTTCCAAAGGTTGATCTGACTCACAAGCTTGGTTCTAACTGTGTCACATGACACTCCAAATGTTCTGTAAGTAGTATACATTGGTGTATATGTGTCTCATTGCTTTTGTTTTATTATTATTTTCTATGATCATGACAGTTATAAAAAAAATTGAAGTTGCGTGAACCTAACACAACTACAAGAAGACTGTCTGGTGGTTACAATTTTTTCTGAGATCATGATCCTTGTTTATCCTCCGAGTTTAAATCATTTTTCAATAGAAAGAAGTCCTCCAAAAGATTATTATAACATTCAACAAAGACCACTTCCCAATCGCAATTGGATTATTTCTTTGTATCTATGTTATATATATCACCGGGTTTTCTAATACGATACAGCACAGTAAGCCAGGACACTTCCGTACGCCAAATCTGAAGTATAGGGGTAGAATCCCGGTCTAGCCTGGAGTATAGGGGTAGAATCCCGGTCTAGCCTGAAGTATAGGGGTAGAATCCCGGTCTAACCTGAAATATAGGGGTAGACTCCCTGTCTAGCCTGAAGTAAAGGGGTAGAATCCCGGTCCAGCCTGGAGTATAGGGGTAGACCCCCTGTCTATCCTGAAGTATAGGGGTGGAATCCCGGTCTGGCCTGGAGTATAGGGGCAGAATCCCGGTCTAGCCTGGAGTATAGGGATAGAATCCCGGTCTAGGCTGAAGTATAAGGGTAGAATCCCGGTCTACCCTGAAGTATAGGGGTAGTCTCCCCGTCTAGCCTGAAGTACAGGGGTAGAATCCCGCTCTAGCCTGAAGTAAAGGGGTAGACTCCCGGTCTAGCCTGAAGTATAGGGGTGGAATCCCGGTCTAGCCTGGAGTATAGGGATAGACTCCCGGTCTAGCCTGAAGTATAGGGGTAGAATCCCGGTCTAGCCTGAAGTATAGGGGTAGACTCCCGGTCTAACCTGAAATATAGGGTTAGACTCCCGGTCTAGCCTGAAGTATAGGGGGAGAATTCCGGTCTAGCCTGAAGTATAGGGGTAGAATCCCTGTCTAACCTGAAGTATAGGGGTAGAATCCCGGTCTAGCCTGAAGTAAAGGGGTAGACTCCCGGTCTAGCCTGAAGTATAGTGGTAGACTCCCGGTCTAGCCTGAAGTATAGGGATAGACTCCCGGTCTATCCTGAAGTACAGGGGTAGAATCCCGGTCTAGCCTGAAGTAAAGGGGTAGAATCCCGATCTAACCTGAAGTATAGGGGTAGCCTCCCGGTCTAGCCTGAAGTATAGGGGTAGACTCCCTGTCTAGCCTGAAGTATAAGGGTAGAATCCCGGTCTAGCCTGAAGTATAGGGGTAGACTCCCGGTCAAGCCTGAAGTATAGGGGTAGACTCCCGGTCTAGCCTGGAGTATAGGGATAGACTCCCGCTCTAGCCTGAAGTATAGGGGTAGAATCCCGATCTAGCCCGAAGTATAGGGGTAGAATCCCGGTCTAGCCTGAAGTAAAGGGGTAGAATCCCGATCTAACCTGAAGTATAGGGGTAGACTCCCGGTCTAGCCTGTAGTATAGGGGTGGAATCCCGGTCTAGCCTGGAGTATAGGGGTAGACTCCCGGTCTAGCCTGAAGTATAGGGGTAGACTCCCGGTCTAGCCTAAAGTATAGGGGTGGACTCCCGGTCTAGCCTGGAGTATAGGGGTAGACTCTCGGTCTAGCCTGAAGTATAAGGGTTGAATCCCGGTCTAGCCTGAAGAATAGGGGTAGAATCCCGGTCTAGCCTGAAGTATAGGGATAGAATCCCGGTCTAGCCCCACTGCTTTTTTTCTTTCTTTTTTTTTATACTTAGAACATTGTTGTTAATTTCATCTTCCTTATTTTTCATTAAGTCCCGCTGCGTATGATTTTCTTTTCAGTAATGACTTATCAAAGGTTTAGTCATGCCGAAAAAAAAAAACAGTTTCAAATTCGTAGTTACAGTTTCTGTCAATGGTACGAGGATCCTTAAGTATGAGATATAAACGAAGACCACGTCTATTTAACCCTCTTTTGAAATTTATTAATACCAATAATGTTAACTATCCTACATGTACTTATACTTCTGTTATTGGTGTAGACATCCCTAACATTCATCAACAATCCCAGTTTACATTATGTATTGTTTACCTACGCTAATACATCAGCGTTCCGATTGTGTGTCCCAATAGCTCATATAATGGACGGACATTGTTTCTAAGTTTCGTCACATCAATACTTCACTTACAGTGCTGTTTTACAGGATGCATGAAGAGGGTAGCCAACCAGTGTGGTGCACGATGCTGCCAGAATACAGCCGAGGAAGGCTAGCGAGACGGAGGACGACATGGCGGACAGGTATCGTTGTTCAGGTGGTACAAGACAGGGCACACTTCACAAAGTCTTTATCATTTGTCCAGGCGACCTATATGTGGGAAAACGTGCCGATAAGATCAGTAACACGTGTCCGCGGTCAAATGCGCTCGCGTAAGGGCGATATCTCCTGGTCAGTCAAGGACATACCATTGGCATAGAAAAAGCATTTAACTTATGTATTTTTTTTTATATTATTGATTCTGATAATATTTCAAACCAAACTGTAAGAACCAAAATACTTATTTATGATAAAACAAGATCAAATAATGTTGTAAGTTCAAGACGACGACTGTTTTAAGTGCACATGACCGAAACAGATTTTATATCAAACTAAAACAATCTGCGTTTAATTTCCATTGTTTTAATTTCGAAAATATTATAAAAACACCAGATATTCTTTGACTGTCCTATTTAATTCCGTTTTTTTATTATAAAACCTTTTTCAACGATAAGTTAAAAAGTTTTCCTTAGACCCAATTCCTTTAAGGAAATAACTTTTTATGTACCGCGAGACATTTGTTCGTTTACACTGGAGTTGCCATCTCTTACTTGTAGGACGAACTGTGTTCGTTAGAAAGCTCATTGACAGTCCTAGTTAAGATTTACTTTAACAATCGATTTAGTTCCTTAAATCAAAGGTCAGTTTCCTGTGGCTAGGGGAGGTATTTTGTACACAGGGAAGACTCGCCGGTTTCCCTTGGTCAAGTCTCAAGATGAAACTTCTCAGAGGTGAAATTGTGTAGCAGCTATGGTATATGAGGGAATATACTGCCTAACTTGCATGTCAGTTTTTCCAGTGATGCGGTATATAACAATGGGAATCGCTCACTGATTCATCAACGCCGAGTGTAGCCATTGGCTTGATGAATGTCCGTCCGCATGTAAAATCATCCCTTATAGTATTTATAGCATTAAACTGCTTTCGGATGCGTTTCATAGACAATATAAAGGCCTATTGCTCTACAGGAAATGAAACGAACCACGGGTTCAATCCCCGATCAGACGTGAAAAACTGTCATTGGGTCACCTGCCCTACCACGTTGGTTTTTCCCCCCGGATATTCTAGATTCCTCCCACATTAAGACCCTCTGCGCGTTTTTATACAAACCAACAAGAGTGATTTCTATAAGTGAATAAACTTTTTTTTATTACTGTAGTAAAACAACTATAGAATATATATTTAAGGCACGTTAATCTACACCAGAGCCCTATTACACAACAAAGAATTACAGAATTATTGATATCAATATTTCGACTCTATAATGTGTTAATTGGGTTGACGTCGGATCACCTTCAATGCATTTTAATAAATGGCATTAGTCGTTATCAAAGTTCATAAGGATTTGGTAATTAATATTCATCGTGATGAAATATACTCAAACAGCACGACGTAAACCAGCTAAATATTTAAATTGTGTAAAGTCAAAAATTAAATTAAATGTTCTAGATTAGTTTTGAAAGTCGGTTGCAATTGTATCAAGCCTTATATTGCTATTAAATATTAAAACCCATATTAAAGAATATATGTATAAAGTCTCTGACGTGTATAGTTACTTTTCCTGAATATCATATATCAATATATAACTACCTGCATCTTAAAATGTTTCGAATTATGGTGTCCTATTTGAAACTTGATCTTGATATTGTTCTGCTTTTGATTACAGAACAAACCCACAAACTCTTAAAAAACATGATTTATTTAATATCTGGAGAAGTCAGCAAATGGTCGTTGAGTACATATATCAACGGAGGTAGACTCCGTGTACCAGTAGTTGTGGTCAAACCCGCTCCAATGGAGGTAAGCGATACACGTTAGGATGTATTTGTAAGTGTAATCAGTATAAATGATAAATCATACACAAATATGCAAGCTATACATACACAATGTAGCTGATTTATGTCGCAACACTTTAAGACCATCTATCGATATTTTGATATGTATTTTGAATAGCAACCTGGGGTGCCTCGCCCCCTTTTGGTGCCCCTGTTGTTTTGTGATTGGCTCGTACGTCCGTATTATATAAACGAAATGAAGGAAAACTGCGAGCTGATTGGCTGAAGACCCCCTTCTTCATCTTTGAGAAGACATATTCGCCATATTGTTGCAAATTTTACGAAGATATTTTAACCTATTTTGCTGTGCTGTAAAGCCCACCCATACCTACCACCCTTAGGGTTTGCTTGTTTTTCATTTTAATATGACTATTCATGTTATGATTAGGCTATCTAAAGCAACCCTTTCTATTGGTCTGGAGTAATTCTGTCGAATTCCCACCTAAGGATGTAAACATCATGTTCATAGTTTGTGTCATGTTGCCATTCTTACTAAATTGTCAGCTTATGATGACCTTGGTTCAGTTCTATATTTTCTTCGAGTTTTATGTGGAGTATCTAGACGTATCATTAGAGTTATTTTCTGTGAGGGTCAAACTACCTATTGGTATACTATGTTGTACTGGGTGTTATCAGGTGTGTTTTGTGTGACACGGAGGTCGTCCATATAATAACCATTGTGTTAAACAAATTATGTAATTTGTGATAGAAAGTCATCATAAATAAATTCAATGAAATTTTAATTATGATCAAACACTATATTTATAAAACAAGATGCCTTCAAAACACTTTGTCAGTAAATGCTTTAATTAACAGCATAAAAGACCATCATTCTGTACAAAAATATACAGCATGTTGCAAGGGGAGTAATTTTGTAAGAAAACTGGAAAGAGAATGGAAAAAATGGAACCACCTCCATGAATAATAAGCCAAAATTAAATAATTTGATATCATCAAGTCAGCAGATACAATACATCTCCTCCCACAGTATAGTTCTCTTTTTATATTTTGAAAATACACTGATGCACATACATGTAGCCAGCACACACTAAGTTTTCACAAGGACTTTTTTTTGGCAGTTACATGTATGTCCCTTTTACCATACCTGTATTGAATCTTGCCTGAACTCCAAATATATATTTTTTGTCCCTTTTTTGTGAATTTAAGTTGATGTTTCTGTCTGAACTTATTAAAGTTAATCTCTTTTATGATATAAATATATTTTGTCCTGAGTATTACCCTCATTTCTCAGCCACCTTTATATGGCTGTATTTACTTGCAGTTTAAAGCCGAAAGCACCTTACTTACAATTAATACAGAAGATTATCTTATGATCTTATTCTAAACATAAAGTTTGTTTAGTATTGAGCTGCAGTGCAAAAACTAGTTTCTCCTTTATCTTCCTCTTTCTGTTGACTTTCTCCGTTTTTCATTGCTATTTTTTTTCCTTCTTCTTCTTTTCTATTCTCTCTCTGTCTCTGTTCTCATAAAGGCAATATAGGTGTATATGGGTACCATTACATATACTTGTGTCTAATATATCAACTGATGTAAGTAAGAGTATATATGAGTCGTGTGAGGTCTGTATATATAATATGAATTGTTTGAATGTAAATATACCATATATTGCATAAAATTCTTGAATAAAAGGAAAATTACATATTTTTTTTTTTTTAAATTCAATGAGAATATATCAACAACAAACTAAATACTAAAAAAGATATATACTTATAAAGAAAAAGGTTAACATTGATCACAGTGACATAATACTATATTGTAATAATCAAAGACTATACATACCCACAACACGTGAGTAACCAGGGCGATACATTGAACTTGTAAATCTTAGATAAGCAATTCATTTTCAAAATAGATAAGATCGTTTCATCATACGTCATCACGAACACATTACCAGCAACGTAACACTGATATTGAAACCACTTTTCGCTCGTTTAGAAAGGTCTTCTCACCGAAGTACAGATAATGGCTGTTTCGCTTACCTTCGAGTAGGTTGAACATATTACAGTAATTTGTTCCTCGGTCAAGAACAGCATATCGAGTTTCGGCAGAAGAAAAACCCTACAAGAATACATAAGAGTACAAGAAGGCTATGTTTGACCTAACTCGTTTTTGCTAAAAGAAAACTATTTTCTTTAAGTCATACTGGATAATTATATAATTGACAAGATTTTGCAGAAATTCAATTTGTTTATTTTTGCCTTTTTTTATAGAATATATATTAAAGGATTCTGATTCTTGCCTTAATTTTTCTAATTGGTCAAATACAAATGTATGTTGCTGTCGTCACACTTCTAAAACTTCAATACGAGCAACACTCAGTTGCAACATGTACTGTTAAATTTGCTTTCAATTGTTATATTGTCCATTTACCCGTCGAAGTAGACACACAACACTTCATTGATATGGCAATATACAACATCAATCAGTTTTCCTTAGTAAGACAGTGTTTTGCTAAATCTTACATCAATAAGACAGGAATCGTCGCCCTGTGACGTCAGAGTGAATGATAAGTCATCTATAAAATGTTGGAGTGGAGTCTCATGGGTCAGCTTTATCACTTCTCCGCTGTTAATTTTTAACTACAATATGAGGAGATTACCGTAAACCGAACTTGATACTAAAGTTTGATTTCGATAAATTGTTATTTTCCTCTGTGGCAGTTATTCAGGTTTGACATTGACAATGATGAAAAGTAATTTTTTTCCTGATGTAGTTTTTACCCCTTCAGCAATGTATCCCATGTTGTTGTTTTTTTAATTCATATAAAGAAAACCAAGTACACATTGGAGATACTACAAACTAACCCTTGCACGCTTTTGATATCACATGCATTATAAGTGGAAAAGCTAATAACTGCATAGACGGTAACCAGTGTCCAGTGCAGCATGATCTTCTCCTGCCATTTATTACAAATATATTACATACTCGTCTTAAAACCATTGAAACATTCGAACTTTTATGAACATTACGTAGTAAAACGATACCATATTGCCATGCATGATGCATGTGCTGGTCCAATCCCAAAAAGAAACACCAGAGAGCATCCCGTTAGACTCAGGAACACGGCAGCAGCAATATATACATTCATCGTTAAATGTGTGGACGAAATGGACAGTGGTCAGTAGAAATGCCGGATATTATATCTTTATATTGTGACATTTGTTGACCAGTTCATGACTTTGTAACCTTCTGGATAAATTATTGTCCATTATCCTTCGGGGTGATCTGTCATATTATTGATATAATATGTTGAAGGAAGTAATGATGGTTACCAGACCTAAAATAATATTGTGAGAAAGTAATAAATTATTTTGTAAATAAGTTAAATATGCTTATTCCATTGACTCAACAGCCGATACGTTACAAAAATAAAGACATTCATCCAATCCAGTGTGAGCATATATCTATTACGTAATATACAGATAGTCTGATGTTATACCGTTAATTTAGAAATGAGTGTTCGCTGTATGTGTATTCCATCTTTGCGTATTGAAGAGTTATCTTCTCTTGAGAGCAGGTATTGATTGTTACGTCATTTGTTTGTGAGAGTAACGTCATCAATTTTTGAGAAAACGACGTAATTTTCTCACACGAACCAATGACGTAACAATCAATCCCTCCTCTCAAGAGAAGATAACTCTGCAATACGCAAAGACGGAATAGATTCACTTAACTTATATACCTTTACTGACCCCCAAAAGTAACGTTACATTAATATTCTGTCGCAAATGGTGTAAATTTACACTGTTAAATTTATTAACAATATGTGTTGTTTCAATACATTTACTAAAGTTTCATAAACATGTTTCCATAAAACGACGTCACTAGTGTATATCCAGAATACCTAACAACCAAGTTCGAGGAATTAATATCACATGAAAGAAAATCTTGCGTTGACCACAGTCTGACAACGACGTCGCATGGAAGCGATGAGTCGGTTCATAGCCCTCATCTCATCGGGATCCCTTGTCACACTATCTTTAAGACCGTCCTCCACTTGTCTAACGTCTGAGGCTGCTGACGTCGAATTCTCACTCTTCTGTCCAATTGATCTCAGAATTGCTAAACAGGATTGATATCTGGGGTAAGCGACTGCAAATCAAGCCATGAATGTTCTATTAACGAATAAAGCCCATTTTTGCGCGTGCGAAATGAGCATGTGAGTAATCTTGCTGAAACATGATTAGAACTTGCAGCCACTGTCGGAGAGACCATCGTTAATGTTGTCGTGCCCACGCTAATCGACTTTGGAGCTGACGTTGAGTCAATCGAGGTACACGATTCGGTCAGCAAGAGCGTATTCCTATCTTGGCCAAACTGCAGTTTTTTAACTAATGCGACGGTGATTGGGATTGTTGAAAGCAGAACTTGCCGCCGTTACTAATTACGCAGATGACGTAAGCAGACATGCATGTCCTGTCTACGTGACGTATTGCGTGGCCTCTCCTGGCTTTGGACGATCGGCCGTCGAATTCGTGGCTGTAAACCTGCTCCAAAGCATGGATATTGTTATCAACAACATAAAAATACCATTGTCCCTTTCATGGCTCACGTCATCAAGCCGTGGTATAACTGATTTTGCTTGGACACCAAACTAACACGATGACCAGATAGAAAGTACCACGAGTCATGTATACACTTTGTATACACGTTACACTTGCAAAACGTTCTGCTTGAGCACAAATCTACGCCTCACTGAAATTTGTCGACGGTAACATAAGCGAATACCTGGGGACTAATAGAATCTCTTCTTAACCCGAGGGGGAAGAGTGTTTGGCAACTTAAGAATCTTTCCCCGATGGTTTAGATTCCTCTATCTCACCAACAAGGGGGTTAATGATTATTTTTCTCTTACCCTGTTCTCCCATTGTGTATCATAATACACAATGTAATGACAACGTTACATGCTAAATTCAGGGTTGATGTGTCGTTGATGGATTGTTGACGTGACGTCATACCATTGTTATGAATAGGGGAATCCCCCGTCTGAACCCTAGGGTGAGACAAGGAAATCTCATACCGGTAAAAGTGCGGATAAACCTGTCCAGGGTAAGAGAAAAGGAAATCACATACCGGTAAAAGTGCGGATACACCTGTCCAGGGTAAGATAAAAGGAAATCACATACCGGTAAAAGTGCGGATACACCTGTCCAGGGTAAGAGAAAAGGAAATCACATACCGGTAAAAGTAAACACTTTTCCTTTGAGGGCCAGTATAATTTATATTACTATCATTTTTTACCTAATTAATACATTTTGTTTAAATCGCTTTTGGTTTCAGCATTTCAAGTAACTTAGTAAATAGTGAAGACATAATGATTTTGTGACTTTAAAAATATAACGTTGCTAAATTGGAGTGTTTCACAGACCTTTTGACCAGTAATCATTAAATTGTTTAGGAACTTGAGTCCAGATCTCAAGCTGGCCAGCTGACGACTGGAAATCTGAATAAAGTAATCTTAACGCTAGTTTTGGACGGAATCGGCGTTGAGGCGACATAAGTGAAGAAAAACGGCTTACTTCATTACGATCTCCGATCGTCAGCCTAACCACTCGAAAAATGTACGGGTGTCCGACATGAAATTAAAAGGACATGACTATCGCCGCCACTATATTAATATATAATAAAATATCAAAATGTAATGGATTATGGTGTCTTTAGATTGCTTGTTTTTTAAAAACATAACACACAACCAAAATTTATATAACACGATTTATTTAATATCTGTTGCAGTCAGCTGATGATCGCTGAGTACATGAAGCATCAGATGCAGTCTCCGTGTATCCAGCAGCTGTAGTCAGACTAGCTCCTGTGGAAGTAGGTAGAAATGTTGTTATGCATTAGGAAATGTGATACGCAAGGCCTGGACTGGGATACTTCTCACATTTATGATAATTATAAACATTGTACTTGCACGTGAAACTAATATTAAAGCATTATGTTAGTTATGTACAACGTTGCTCGAGTATGCAGGAATAATTATCATCCAAGTTATTTTAGGTCATTAAGTATTTAATTGTGCTGTGTGTTTTATATAGGATTCAATAGGATATTAGTGGACGCAGGTATTGTTACCTATAATTTCATATCAATATAATTTGAAATACATTGTGATAAACATAAAGTTAGTATATATATACGACGCTGTATGATCGTACTTCAAAGATATATTATAATTAATGTGTTGTGTATAGGTCGTCCTTTAATATCTATGATATGTTTACTAAATTACATCAAGTTTGAAAGAAAGCAATCGTAAGTAAACTTACTGAAAATATACCATCAAACACAACTATATGCTAAACAACATCTGTTCTTATTTGAATATAGACTAACATGGTTCACAGTGTCAGAGATATGATCTACACGCTGACAACACGTGATAAGCCATGACGTTACCTTGAACTTGTAAATCTTAGATAAGCAATTCGGGTTTCAAATTAGATAAGATCGTTTCACAAATTATTCACCCCACAGACACTACCACCAACCTAACACAGTCATGTTTAAACTCATATAAACGATAAGGCGATATCTTTCCTATTTGGTCTTTTTTATATGAAAACCACTTTACGCCTATTAAGAAACCCCATCTCTTCTAGATACAGATAATGACTGTGTTTTGGTACCTTCGAGGAGGTTGAACATGTTACAGTAGTTTGTTCCCTGGTCCAGGACAGCATACCATGTTTCGGCAGTGGAATAACCCTGTTACGATACACATACAAATACAAAAGGCTGCCATGGAAGAATTAACTCGTTTTCACTTGTGCAGTCAAACATTTAATACTCTTAACGTCACTGTACCCAAAACGGGACAGTGTCTTAAACGGGGACACTTGTGGGAAAATGGCCAAAAGAAATATTCACTTGATAATACTTCATCCCCATCATGTGAAGTCCATGGTCTCTTAGATATTTAACACGTGTTCAGTCTATTAAGAAGACCGTAGAGGTGGTCTCTTATTGGCGGTAGTAGCAGGATTGAGTGCATAAATATATTAATTTGTTACTGGATATGTATAATCTACATCGTTGGTGCAAATTTCATTGTTGTTTTAAATTACGTAAAACATTAACATCAATATGTACCAATTGATGTCTTTTCCTCTTGTTTACATATGTATTATGATATCATTCTTCCGAACCTTAATATATCATGTATCCAATATATTTATCATCCTTATAGATCAAAGGATTATTGATAATGAACTAGCATTGACCACTCGTGTTTTGAATGGTTATATTGTCCGATTTACCTTTGAATGTATACAAACAACAGTTTAGCAATACACCAATATATTTTATTTGATTTATTAAGTCACATAGGATTCAGTAAATACTTACACCAAGTTGGCAGGAGGCGTCGCCTTGTGACTTCAGAGTGAATGATACGTCATCTATATAATGTTTAAGTGGGGTCTCATGGGTCAGCTTAATTACTCCTTCGCTGTTACTTTTCAACTACAAAGTAAGGAGAATTCCATATAAACGAGCATACTGTTCAAGTAAATCTTGTTAAATTGCTAGCTGTTTCCATACCATTTAAGTTATAATGTTGACAATATCGGGAGAGTAAGTATATATATGGGAGAAGACATTTTTTAATTCCTCAGTTCTGATTCCGATGGTTGATGCTTTACACACGTAATCACAAATTAAATCGGAGGTGATACCATCTATCCTATACAGGTCCTGTTTTTGACATTTATAATCATCTAATGTTTATTGTCGTATAGAGCATTTACTCAATTAAACGGGCTGTTTGTCTTTAAAATTATGTTCAATAACAAATCGGTGAAATACTGTTGTATACAATTTCACCATACCACATAGAGGCACTTCTCGTTGATTGGTCCAGATTTGCAGTTTTCAGGGCCAGACCAGGTCTGGATCTGATTCAGCAAAGCTGTTTCCACTTGGCTGCATGCCATTCCTACCGTCCTGTAAAACAAATCTAATGTTTTTAAAGACAATTATCGTCAATTTGATATGCACTGAAATCACATTCATTATAAATGGAAAGGTTAATAATTACATAGTGGTAAGCAGTGTTCAATACAGCATGAGCCTAGTTATGCCATTTATTCGAAATATATTACACACTTTTCTTAAAAAGATTAAATCATAAGAACTTTTTTATTATGAATAATGCAAAATTAATCAAATGATACCATTGTGCCTTGCATGATGCATGCGCTGGTCCAGTCCCAAATAGGAATGCCAGCGAGGAACCCGCAAGACTCAGAAACACGGCAGCAGCAACACAACTCTTCATGGTGAAACGTATGGACAAGATGGACAGTGGTCAGGAGAAGGGCTTGATGTTAGGTCAAATTTATATTATCACATTTGCTTACTTGTTCAAGAATTGTTAACTTCTTAACCTGTGATTTTTCATGAGCCAATAGTGATCTGTCATATTATTGTGTGAATGACATAAACCAATATATCGAGGAAGAAATGGGGGTTGCGAGACCATATACCACAGACTATTTAACGTAATGTTATCTAAAGAAAATCATGAAAACATTTCAAAGTTAAGATAACAATGCTTGAATAATTGACACATTAGCCGATAAGGTAGAGAGATAAGATTAGCCATCCAATCCCGATGTAGCACATATCTGTTACGAAATGTGAAGACAGTCAAATACTGGATCGTTAATTAACAAATAGATTTTTCTATATGTACACGATATAACTGTCATAACTAACCTAACTAGTGTAAATTGTAGAAACAGCTTTTAGCGTCAGCATTTCAAGAAACTTAGTAATTGTGCAATTAACCTGATAGCATTAACAATATAGATGTGTTAAATTGGACCGTTTCACATACCTTTACCAGCAAGCATTACATTCTGTAGGGACATATTTAAGGCCAGCTGTAAATAATATATGGGATCCCAAACAAAAGGTTCTAAATGATGTAACACTTAAAAGTATTGAAAATGATAAGATCAACTGATTTGAGTGTTTTTATTTTAATATCGTGTACAGTTAGCAGATGAGTGTTGTGTACAAACGGCATCACTGGTGGACTCTGTGTAGCCGGCCAGCTGTGTGAGCTGGGAACCTGTGAAGGACAAATCGAACAGCTGACAAAACTGGTATCTTTCTGATAACATGTCATATTATCAAAAAATATAGTTTTAAATATATCAGGGTTCTCTCACTCATGTTGATTGACTTGTGTCAGTTTAAATCAAATGATACCTAGGAAAACATAATAAAAATTATAATAAACAAAATCGAGTTATTGTGTTTCCATACCATCATTTATTATTGAAATAATGATATGTATTTTTTTCAAAGAATTCGTGTTTCTGGAATAGTAGGATATAATTATTTCCGTATAAATGCACGTATGATTTTTAAAACTTCCTTGAAATAACCTGTACAGTTTGAAATACCCTGTGCTGTTTGAAATACCCTGTGCTGTTTGAAATACCCTGTACAGTTTGAAATAACATGTACAGTTTGAAATAACATGTACAGTTTATCTTTTTCAAGTTTAACGAAATTAAATAAATGAGGATTATGTCGGTATAATAGTGTTATTGTGCGTACCTTCCAGGAGATTATACATGTTACAGTAGTTTGTACCGTAATCAAGTACAGCATACCAAGTCTCTGACCTTGAATTACCCTGTAAAGGAATAAACGACAGGTGCCTGATTAGCATGTATATCACATGTTAGTAGCTATCTATTGAAAATGCGTTTAGCTAACAAGTACATGCATCCAGTGAATACCAATTCTAGTTTAAATCTCTGTCTTAATGCTTAATGCGCATGTTTCATTTTACCTTGCTCTATTGTTGATGCAATTGTCATCGTTTTAACATACTGTCAATCTTTTTTACTTCTTCGATATTCGCAAGAAGACTCATTTGTGAACCTTCATTTTTTTGCATCTATCTATCTAAAGTCGCAAAAATTAATTGATTGAAAGCAACAATGAATCTGTTACGCATGCAGTTTAGGTTTTACTTAGCCAGAACCGTCGCTTGAGTTAATTGTGATCAAAGGTCATGGGATCGAATTCTGGCCGTGCTCCTTTTCATTTTTTTTCTCAGAACATTTCACATTCGATCTTCATTACTTTTTTATAACATTTCCGCAATGTTAAGGTTTCATTTCCTGATAGGAAGTTTTATTCAAATTTATTGTACGGTTGGTAAAAATGTTTCAAAATATTTTCAGTTTTTGAAGTAGAAAAATGGATCCTTAACTGGTGGTCTGGCCCTAAACGACGCATAGATATCTTATAACATCATGCATTCTTCGTTAAGAATGTCTACAACTTAATGATGGTTGTAGCCCCTCGCTCCCTCACTTACCACAAGAGTACAGTGACCACCATCAGCTGTGTTTTCGTTAGTAAATGTGAAGGTAATGTCGTCGATGTAATGCTTTAGTGGTGTCTCATGGGTAAGTTTAAGGATGCCACCGGAGTTACTCTTCAACTGAAAGAGGTACATTGTATTATCAATACTCGTTTGAAAATATTAAAACAGGAAAATAAAAATCATCCATTCGGTATTTTACATTTCGTATTTGTGAAATATTGTGTGAAAGAACTCATTGTGAAAAGTTATGTAATATGAGAATTTAACGTAATGTGACAAAATTGAAAAGTTAAACTACAGTATATCGATACTACTTGTCAGTTTGCTTAGAACATGTAACAGATACAATCATATAGATAGATATCTTTGCTCTTTGCAACACTTTTGTATACATTTACTATTTTTTAAGATAAGATTGAATGTCATCATTTTCTCTAAATTCACTTTTTATTTTAGAAAAATAGGTTCGGACTTACCACATACAGGCATTTCTCGTTGATGGGTCCAGACTTACAGTTTGCAGGGCCACTCCATTCTTGTACTTGTGACAGCAGACTGGACAGTACAGTATCACAGCTCTTCCCGAATGTCCTGTCAGTCACAATGTAGACAAAGTGTTTATAATTTATTTTACGTAAACACTTATGACCGTGTTAATAGGGTTAATTGCGTGTGATACAATTTTCGCGAATTTGTTCAAAACAAATTTCCGTGTAGGGATTTCTCGTATCTATTTCCTTGATTATATATGTCTGATCCATTTCTATACCTTACAGCATAAAGTTTATTGAAATTAAATGCTAGTGCTTTCACGGACTCGTATGATTTCTCGTATATAGTCCATGTTTGTGTTGTTGTTGTTTTTTTACATTTCGTCATCTTGCGAATAAACGAAAATGTCTGGTATAGAATATTGAACAACTTTGATTACTCGTGTAGTAATGATCGACAAGACTTCATATCCTCGTTATCAATATTCATATTCTATGCAAATGGACATGCTAAGCACGTCATGAAAGAAACAGTGTTCTATGTACATCTGGTAATTATAACTTAAATGAAAGGCATTTACCAACAAAGTAAAATACAAATATTCCTACTCTTACTCTTTATGTTCTTTTGCCCCTTTTATTTTGTTTGAAATGTATTTCAGTGTTGCATGTTTAATCTAGCAAACAATTTTCGTCTAATCAATTATACTCTTAAAAATAGAGATCGTGGTCGTTATTGTATGTCATGGCTGTATACAATAGGATGGGAAGATATCTGTTCATTTAAAATCATTTTAATTTTTTAAATATCTCGGACAGGTAAGGCTTTTTGGTTTTTTAGCTGTAATACAATTGTATAAGTTATCAAATAAACAATACAGTGATGTTCGTCTGTATCAACACAGAAAGAAATGTTAATACACAAGGATTGTAGCTATCTACTAAAGGTTCCTAATACATTTCAATCCCTATTTTTGCAAGTTATTAATTTCTGTCCCACATCGAAGTTGCGATGCCCTATAAATATCAGCGTATCCGTCTGTTCGCCGTCGTTTGTTTCCGCATGGTACACTGTATCTTGAGAAGGAAAATGTAGGAATTTGATTAAACTTGGTTTATGTAATACTTATCCAAGTCCCTTTTTTGGGGTCGATGATTGACAATTACGACGCATATTTAATGAGGATGTTGCATTGACTGAATGCTATTTTCAGAAGGAATCATCTAAATTTGATGTAATTTGTTGAATTTACTAATATCCAAGCTTCTGCCTTCTGATAAGTTGACTATGATGTCACTTTCCGAGTATATTTAATGAGTCTACTGCATTCTGATAGGTCGATTGCCTTTCGATCACCACAATATTTAATGACTTGATTTGGGTTAAACACGCTTCGTACACTACTAACCCACGTCTCAGCTGTTCTTCTGATTGGCTGGCACATATATGGCTGTAACTTTTGATTTATTAATATGTGTTTGATTTTATTTTCTCTTAAATAGTACTTAGCGGATAGCGAACATGGTAAAAGAGAACTTATTATCATTGCCCCGATCAGAAAAAAACAAGATGGTTTCCATGGCTTCTGATTTGCTGAAATTTGACGCTTCAATACTTTTGTCTAATTTTATTCATGCTTGATGGCAACGGGTATTTGTCAGATTACAAACATGCTTAATTCTTTATTGGTCATTCTTTAAACTCCTTCAAAATGATTGATGTGGCGCCTGCTCAGCGAATATGGGAGATATATATGGTCAAACATATGGTGGGCCCCTTGCTGACCTGTCAGTGTTCTAATTCTTATTTTAACGCAGTGAATAGCAAAAGATGTACACAATAAAATTATGTAATGATCAAATGTTGCAAACGAAAATACTAGAAAGTGAAATTAGCTATATAAATAATTCAAAAATATGAAAATTGTTATAATGGGTACTGGTACGAATATAAAATGTATATCTATTTATATATGCATTAATGTAACTTTGATATATTAACTATTATATGTAAAATGTGCCGTCAATTATATTAATGATGTAATTGTTTAATGAAGAATGACGTTTGTAAGCTGTCATAACTCGTGTCCAATTCCTGCAAATTCTTTTTCAATTTCAAATATTAAACTTAACTATAATCAAATGCACAGCACAGTACTTACCAAGTAGACTTACACGAGGCGTGTGCAGGACCGGTTATGAGGAATCCTACTGACGTTCCGATGAGACAGACGAGGAGAGCGATTGCTACGTATCCTTTCATACTGATGGTTGTTAGATCAAGTTTACACAGGGAACGAGTGTCATTCTCCTGCCCCCTTTATAGCAAACAATGTGGTACGATAAGGTAACCTTGTGTTCTGATAAAACATGTGGCATCGCATGATCAAAGTGCGCGTGACCTCTCTTGCAGATTACCTTTCATTCATTCGTATGCTCATCTTACTATTAATGTCCAAAAAGTAGGTGTCTGTTAAACGTTTTCAGTAAACCCCGATTGTGTGGCTGCTATTGTTTCTTTATAGAAAGTATTTTGTATAAAGACGTTTGTCGGATTCTCACTTTTACTTTCTATATTCACAGCTGGTCATTGTCCTATGATAATTTTGTTTCCCTTAGGACTTTGAACTTTCTCGTCGTCGCCACCATTGGACTGTTCATAACGGCTACAGATTTTTTTCTTCCAGTTTTTGATAACTGTGAAAACATTGCATGCTTTTGGTGCCTTTTATATCTTCCCTTGTCTCTCGTATCATTTCTACACTGTTACTTATGTTTTCTTGTCCATCTTTTCTTCCATGTTACTGTTGTTTTACCCGTCTCTCCTGCCTCTCCTGTCTGTTTTTGTCTTCCCAATCTTTCATGTTTTCTCTGTCTCCTATATGTTCTCTATCCTTTCTGTCTCACATGTCAATTACGTCTTTCATGTTATTTTTCCTTTCTCGCATCTCTTCCGTCTTTCCTGCCTATTCTATCTGTCCTGCCGCTCATGTCTCTTCCTTATTTCTACTTGCTCCTTGTTTCCTCTGTCTTTCAAATCTTATATGCCTTTCCTGTCCCACGTATCACCTTATGTGCTAACGTCCCTGTTAGGGTCATATTCAGCTTTCATTATATGATATTAACAAAAAGGCAAATTATGAAATACTTTTGTTCATTCCTATCACTATTCATATAAAAATAATACATTTCATTCAAGAAAAAACAAGATCTGAAATAACTTTGGTTCCTTTCATTTCAACAGATTTTATTGACTTTACATATGTCAATTGGATTGGACATCAGGCTAAGCCTATTTAAGTCCTTTCCAAACTTATTTACAAACATTACATATATTCTGTCATAACAATCCAATTAAACAGTGCAGTCCCGATAACCCCAATTTAGCTTCGGAAATGAACAGTTTACAACTTTTATTTAAACCTTTGCTGTTTATGTTTTGGATATTAACAATTAAATAAATCACTTATATTTATTGACAACCCATCCTACATAAAAACCAAGGGAAACAGGCCCAAAAATCCCTGTGTATAAACACATTGGCCATCCACCCAATGGATATATAGGATAAGTTACCAAGAAATAAACATATTGTAAAATTTCAGAATATGATATGGATTCATATAGGAAAATGTCGTTGTTATTATCTATTATTGGAAATGATTCTCTTAAAATTTATTTAACACAGCATTACAGAATATTCATCTAACTATGAAATAGTTAGAACAGGTCATAGAATAGTACACTGAAGATAGATATACACACCAGTAACAATACTTATTAGCAGAGTGATCATGACACTATAAATAATAGCATCACTTTCAATGTCAAGTTTAGCTATGAGTGAGATTACATATCAAGTCTATTAGTTTGACAAATGTAGTCAGATACACTTGTAAAATGGATATGTTGATATCAACGCTGCATATTAAGCACCATTTAATACAGTTTTTTAGATTAAAATGATCATGATTACCAGTTATACCAAATTGAGAATTTTTTATTACTAATTGCATTCTAATATTGTTATAGAGTGGGCATTCAAATATAAAATGAAGTGCATTTTCATTTTCACGTCTACATGCTGGTGTGTCATTCAGATGATCCATATATAAGTCACTATTTAGGTTGCTAGCATTATTTCTTCGCTGACAAATTATGATATTGAATTGTCTTGGCCCATAGTGTTTACATGTGCTAGCAATTTCTACAGTGTTGTTCATATTATCAGACTTGATGAAATTTTTAAATTGTTGAAGGGAAGTAGCATTTAAAGTTTCTGCAGATAGAAGATTAAATTCTCTACACATTGAGGGAAAATAACGATTGAAATAATTCTCAGTTCTACAGAAAGAGGGATTGAAAATACGGCTATTTCTTAGTGAATGTCTTACACTTTGGTTCCTTTACGGTTGATATCTGGATGTGAACGTGACCGTCTTGTGAACAAGATATATCACTATCACTTGACATACATTAAGGTACATTTAAAAACAGTCTTTAAACGGGGCGTTTACTGTTGGCATTGACGTAAGCAGTTCAGCACCTTTGTCGCTCCCACTTCTACTTGGGGCCTAGATATACGCAGATCAGTCCTGTAATCTTTCCCAAATAACCCCAATTGTCACAACATCATTTAGTTACCCTGCATTCAATTAATTCAATATACTATGTTTTTAAACACATTATACCTCTATGATAATTGTGCATGTTCCAGTAGCCTGGCCTGGAAAGAATCACGCGTGGTGTATCACCTGTAGTGTAGCACCATATGTATGGGTCAGTAAAACGTGTGGTGCCATACAAATGATAAAATACACCACCCTGTATGATCTACGAGTAGATAGAGAACTCTCTCTCTCTCTCTCTCTCTCTCTCTCTCAATTTTGCTAGGTTTCTCCTTGTCCGGCATGTTTGTGTACTTTTTTGCAAGTTATGAAATAAAGCAAAACAATAATATACATACTTAACACCGCGAAAAAACACTGACTAGAGTAAAACTTCGGTGTGTGGAAAACACATTCCAAAAGTTAGAGAAAAACGCACGTGTTTCCTTCATAGACTTTATTTGTTAAAACGAATAGAACATGAAACTTTAAATGTAAACATGTGACAAGAAAACAAATGAACGATAAGCGCTGTTTGCGAGCTAAATAGAGACAGACAAACGGACCGACGGACGCAAATAGAAATAGAAAGGATTTCCAACAGACGATTTTGACTTGTTAGTTTAAGAAAGCGTATAATTTGCTCAATTAGCTGTCTACGTCCAAAATGTCGTCAGATGGATTGATCCCCGAGTAACGCAGACAGACAAATATCAATCCGATTGTAATATTTAAAAGCCAACAACGATGTATGTCCTGGGTTTAATTAGTTACTACACGAGCTGCGCTTTCTATTGTCTTAATCAGACGTGTGTTTTAATAACTTATGTTTTACGACAATAATCCACTTTTACTGATCATATCTATTTAAATAACCTCAGCAATATCAGAGGCAATTGCCACAACTACAGTGACACAATTTCAGCTAATGCGTGCGAGATTATTTCTCTTACTTAAATTGGAGACAAATCTGTGGAATTTTAGGGAATTGTTCTGTACTTCTTTGTGAAGGATAGTACAACGTAAGTGAGTCCTGACTAAAGAATTACAATTTGGAGCAAACCGTTTTGCAATCACCTTTTGTTCCAATTCGTAACTGTCTATTGTAGTGATACATATATATGAAATAATTTATAACTCAGCAATAGAAATGTGATCGAAGCAAGTATTACAAATATTTTCTGATTAGTCTAAAAAATACACAACCTCTGTCCACAAGCATCCCTGTCACTTGTATTAATGGTGTGAGGCCTAAGGATGAAATCATTACAACACTGAAAATTGTCTTGTTGTCCATGAGTTGTAGTAGAAATCCATAACACCCACATAGTATTATGACCCACACAGCGTTGATAGAGAGAAAGCAAATCACCACTTTCTTTCTCATAACACGTAGTCCCTCTGTCCTCTCGTCTGACGACATTCCTCTGGGAACATTGACCCCGATTAAATTTTTCACCACTCTCTCCCAAAACGAATCTTCGTCTTCGTTGAAGTTTTGAAGATCCAACACAGAACTGTTCAAACTTGTGTATGACCCTGTTGAACAGTAAAATAAAAGAGTAAGAATCCAGCACGTTGTGTTGTGGATTATTTATAAACAATTGCTTTATCTTATAATAATATACATCGAGATAATTAGACTATGTTCATCATTCAACCCGTGGGATCATACTTGGGTGTCGAAGCTTGTAGGAACCTCATTGCGATAACAATTTTACATAACCATATATTTTCTAATAATTTCATTTTCGTTCTCTCTCAAGAAGGATATATTAATAATGACTTTTGATGAGACGTCATATCAGTGTTATCATGTAGAGCGAGACAGGAAAATCAAGCGATACGGACATATTTTATCTTTACCCCTGACAGTTTATGGAATATCCTTACACTTCACCTCTGCGTATGGGGAAAATAAGCTTTTGTTTTATATTGTTTAATTCAAGATGTGTGTTGACATTAGTCGTTTATGACATTCTTCCCCAGGGGAACATGTGAAAGTGTAACTTCCAAACAGATTGAATTTTAGTCGTTTATGACAAACTTAAAACGTAGTTTCCATATAGAATAATTTTACGAGAAAACACATCAAGAGTGAAAACTACATAAGTCATTGTCATTACACTATCATGATCTAAACTCAAAGTCAAAATCAGAAGAAACTATAACATTTAGAAAACCAAATGGAGAGACATAGAGAACACCCACAGGTAACTTGTATATGAAGAGATTTCCGGTTGACCCTACTTGTGGTGTTAAAATAGCAAAACATAACACGATTCAACAGGGGTATAATTCACGTGGTCGATCCTAATTGGAAGATACTTCATTTTGGAAACAAACATTAGTTCTTAAGTAAATTTGTTGTAATCGAGTTTCTTAATTAAAAAAAACCATCACCTTTATGTGACAGTGATCTTGTCTTTTTCTTCCTCTTCCGCTTTTTCAGTTTCGGTAGGCTTAAGAACTTTGGTACCTTCGCTAATTGCTGAAAAATCAAGGAACAAATAATAGAAATGAAACATGTACCAGTTTCCGAACTTGATATTTTCACAGGATATTTTCCATGGCCTTGTCTAATAACCATATATTGCAAATAAACATTTCTATTCCATAATTGATAAATATATCGCCTTCTCATTGATAGTGAGTAAGTTATTGTTGTCTTTGTTTGAAATATTATTTAACATATCTCATTATGTTTTTAAAACGAATATAGTTAGTCACAATAACAGTCCTAAAAGTAATTATCCTACTTTACGGAGGTCATGTTCGTAATTTGAATCTGTCCAGACAGAAAACAATGGGTCCAATGATGAAACAGACATCAATGTGAATTCTGAATTATACTATACTTAATGTAAGTTAACTTACATTGTCCCGAGTACCCCAGGACTGGTCAACGATATTACACATTGCATAAATTGGCAGAATGATATTGAGCAGAGGTAGAAAGAACATGTAAGGTATGCCATAGAGCAGGATCTTGAGTTCGGACGGGTGGACGATAGCAGCTAGTAGGTAGGTGGCAGCCAGGGACAGTATCAGTAGGTACTCGATGTGCCCCAACTCTTGATGGTTGTAATCTGAAAAATGAGTTTGATGTATATTAAACAAACCTATTCATCATTATTTTCAATTCAATAATAAATTTATATTGTTCATTTGAAGAATATATGTTGCGGTTCTATTTGTGTGGAATTGCGATTGACGTTTTCTAAAATAAAATACGATAGTAATATTTATTTGATTTTGATTTTTCATAAGCTATTTTTAATATCAATGCAGTATAATGTTTAGCTTTATTGGTGCAGATTTTGCTTCATCTAATTGTATAAATTGTATGGTTTGAGTAAGTAAAACAACTTGCCGTTGATCAGTCCTTGCATGATTATAACAGCCGTTGAACCAAACACATACAGTGTTCCCACCCCTAGAACTACTATCAGCAGTTTAGATATCACCAGCTGTACTGAAGCGGATATGTCTTTGACCAACACAATGCTGTATCCAACAATCAGAAGGTAAAACGTTGGTGTTATAGCAACAAGGGGAAGCCCAGAACCCAACTCAAGGCCCAGGGATAACATCATTACGGTGGCACCTGGGTACAGAACCATGATGAGGAACAGGGTTACCACGTACAGTACGTATGTTAATGAGAAGGCAGAGTTGATGGTCATCAGATTGGCTACATTTTGGATAACTAGTAACGCATTTGTATAGTCCGATAGAAGCCACCGTCTTCGCTGCTTCATGAAATCCAAAGTAGTCTCAGGACAAAATGTGCTGTTTTGCCCCGCCTGTGTGTATCGAAGTTTCCAGCCCTTCAACATCATCAAAGTACACATCCAACGATCTTCACCTTAAAGTGGATACAAACATAGGACCATTTAAAAAAAGTGGTGGGTATTTTCAAAAGATTAGCTTAACAAATCTAGATAGTTTTTTTCTTTTGAAAGTATTTTTTGATTATCTTTTTGTCAATACTTCATTTTTTCTTAAATCAGTCAATATTTAATTCATTTTCAGTTAACTCCTGAAAATTGTAGTTAAACATGTTGAGAAGCATACTGGAAACACATTTATAACCATGAAGCAGGTGATAGAATTAACAACTTTGTTAGAGGCTTGCTGAAGTTATTCCAAAAACAAATTAGTGTCATTTAAAGACTTCAATGTTTTAATTTCAATATTCTGGCATGAAAAACTAAAAGAAATTATTCTATTTTTACCGTTATCTTTCGTGAACACATCCATCACTGTTTCTGTTGGACTAGAGTAAGTGGAAAAAATATCTGACAATGCTTCGAATCGAAACAGGCTGAAACATCCGGGACAACACATCACGGAGCCAATAACATTTTGGGAACTCTTTATCATCCAGAAATCTAAAAAAAATAAAAATAAATAGTCCAATTCAAATATAAAAAGTGACATTGTTTGGTATTTCTGTTCAAATGAAATACTTGAATAAGTTTAAATATAATGCATTAACGTTAACAGATAAGACCGGTCCATTTGTTAAGGAGAATTCTTTTAAAAGTAATCTCAAGCGCAACGATGTTGCTTAAACTGTTGATGAGATTGAAAACAATAATGCAAACTTTTCAGGAAAGCAACTCGAACCATATGTATGCATGTATGAGAAGCAGTTAGCTATAAACACAGTGGTAGCGTCTATTTACCGAGAGCATAGTGAACCTGTTCTGACTCAACAAATTAATGTTTTCATCAATTAGGTAATGGATTAACCCACCTCTAGCAAATTCAAACACTTGCAGCCAGAGTATTGGATGTCTGTACAGCCCTGTTGGAAAAGTCCTACCGCAGACTCCTCCGACGTCAGGTTCCTTCTTACAAACATCAACAACAGCAAGGACAGCGCCATCGTCGAACGACATATCAGCGTCAGTCATTAGGACGTAATTGTCCATTGACTGCGAAATAGAAGGTCCCACTATATTTGACATGGAGAGAGATACAGAAAAAATCGTACTTTCTTGAGTGTGGATTTCCAGTGGTGTTTCTTTTACAAACAAATCACTTCCGGCCCCACTTGGTGTTTTACTAGGATAAAGACTTCCATCGTTTGAAGCCATGTCGATCGTGAAATTATCAGCTGAATTGTCGTCTGCGTCGTCACCAGGGTGATTAAGGATGATGTCAGGGATGTCCAAAAAGTTGCCATTTGTAAATGTCGGATTTCTCCTCTCTGTACCATTATTGTCATTTGACAAGTAATAGTCATTTAGTCTATCAAAAGACTCCGTTGAATCGTATGTAAATGAAGGATTGGAGGACATTGTTTTCGACTCGTAGGGGTTATGCATTCCAGCCCATTTAGATCTGTATTTGAGAATGTACTCCAAATACATCACCTGACTCCATCTTTTCTTTGCCTTGACCTTTGCTGTGTCTTTCAGATGTATAAAGAGTGGCGTGCCACATTCTAGCACCCAGTGCAATTGTATCCCGTAAGGTGTGTATAACATTATACCAGACTCTGCTCGTAGTTCAATCGTTTCTTCTACTAAAGATAGTAACTGTTTTCCGAAGTCCTTCATTTCCTTACCATCCGCTCCATTGTCAAGAAATATATGAGATTCGATATAGATATTTTTCCTTTTGAGTTTCTGTGACGTCATTACTTGATCCAAGCTCCTGAGAAGCCTGGCCATCTCGTGTTCAGCCTCCTGGTACATTGTAGTACAAATATACACTCTTGATGGTCTGTTCATTGCTTGTTCCATGCCTTCATTAGAATGTTTTCTAAACACTTTTTGTTGTATCATCACAAAATGCAGAAGAAATAATGAGTTATAACGGTGTATTCCTCTGTTTGATTCATGTGTTATTTCTACAATATTCTCATATTTTCGAAAGCACTTTGGTATAAGCACTAGGCATAGTGGAATCACTGTTAGAATTGCACACAAACTTTTTATGACAATAAGATCACTTGTTATTTTTATATCTCTCACAAGTGGATCGATTATATCCAATGCCACATGTCCATGTGTTACAAGAATTATAAAAAGTATTGAAGTTAATATAGGAGAAAGAAAACATGGACAGAACGTGGTGAATGAAGACTTCTGTGGCACCAAGTACGATGCCAGTGAAATAAACGAAAGCACTTTATGCACAACTATCAAAATATGAAAATTTTCAGAACTACTCAATGCTTGGAATCCCTTTATCAATTGTCGGAAGTCAAGAGATATAGTTCCAATTTTGTCACTGTTAAAACACATTAAACAAAACAAAATATATGTTAACGTTCTCAACGATCCATATAACAGAGAAACGTTATGTAAAGAAGCTTCTGAGACACCATAGATATGTTTTTGGACTGGTGTATACAAGCTTAGTGACGCTCCGATCAGTAAGAGTGGTAGCAGGGCGGCTTGGTGGGCTAGGAGGATACCCGAGTGCGATAGTAAAATGCTTGATACTACTCCAGCAAGAAGGATGGCCACGCAGCCTAAAATCCGCAACGTAGGTTCCATACACGTGTGTAAATATTTGTTATTGATTGCCTAAGAAAAAAACAAAAAGAAAATGCATGATTAAACATTAAAATGTTTCGAAATAAGTTATGCGTACACCTGTACGATTCTTATTTTGAAGATTTATGATTTCTATTTCATTAATAAGATTAAGCTAATATATATTTTAAAAGTTTAAGGATTTTAATTTACATTTAGTCGAGGTTATTCACCAGGTATCCCTCGTTATAGCACACTGTAGGTGAAGGAACACAATAACTCACTTCTTTTATATCATCATTCAACGTTTATTTTTAATTTAGTAATTAAACATCGTATATTTTGTAGGACCAATATTGTTATTGAAAACTTGTAATTTTAGCTTTCAGATTAACACAAACTGGTGTTTTTTACTAAAAATACATACCTTGACTGTTTTTTTCTAAAAATGCATACCTTGACTGGGTTTTTTTCTTTCTAAAAATACATACATACATTGACTGTTGTTTTTCTCTAAAAATGCATACCTTGACTGATTGTGATAGTTCTGGCAACAATGTTATATTCAATAATGGAAGCATGATGTAGCCTGGCGTCAGTGGTAGTATAACGTACGTCAGCATTGATATACAACCAGCCTCAAGGAAACTCAGAATGATACCCTAAAATAAACGAAACACATATCCATAACTGAAATCTATAATGATACATTAATCACATAATACACTAGATTGAAAGATCATCTATAAAATGACTTTGTTGAATAATCGACGTTTTGCTCACGACCTGGTTCAACTACATCTGGGGCTTTCAGTAATTTCGATATTTAGAGGTGTTATCTTTTATCTTTAATGTCTTGGTCGCAGTCTATCAGATGATGAACCATAAGTATGGTTGTTATATTTGGGTAGACTATACAATCATTTTGAGGGCAAGTTTATAATACCTTAATAATATATTCCCGTTCAAATAGCAATCCATGTTGTCCGCTGTTGTTACTTACACTACATATTCCTCGGAACATAGGCCATTGAGCTGCTTTTCCAGCAGTCAGAAAGGAGGCACACCAAAATATTTGTATAATATGGACAACCTCTGGTATCAACAGAACAAACCCAATGCACACGTACCTAAAATAATGATAAATCATCAACATAATATATAATGTAAATTCAGTCATAAGTACTTGTATATTACTTAAGGATGTACACCTCTGAGAAGTCAAAAAATTCCTGTATTAATTTTTTTTTCTTATATTAATTTTTGGAAAAAGGAGTTAATGGCATAGTAGAAAATGCAAAAAAATATATATGTCCGTGTGCTCGTTTTTGTGCTATGATCGGTCAAAGATACCAATTTAACACAATATGTGATTTTAGGTGAATTTTCGGGTTTTTACCATTTGTAGCACAAATTCATACAATTTTTTCCAAGTGTGTTATCAGATATGTATGAATGTTTGTAGAATTGATAAAAATATTATTTTCTTTGAAATTATGGAAGTAAAATTTCTTAATCTTATTCATTTTACTCAGAAATGCGATTTTAGTTACCCCTACCCCTTATTTTTTAATGAAAAAATGCACATTTTTCACCATTTTTTTGCAGATTAAACGCTTGATATAAAAAAAAATCCTGTATTAAACTTTTTTTAGTATTCAATGAATCAAAAGAAAATGTGATTCTTTTTCTAAAACAGCCACAAAAATTGGAGGTCGGTGTGCTTCTTTTTTTGTTCCATTATTATTTGTGTTTTTTTTCACCCTTTTCGGGGTCAAAAATAAAAAAATGCTTCAGTTGCCCTAATATGCAAAAGATATACCAATAATATATAACTTTACACTTTTTTGCATATTATTTTAATCATATTGAACATTATAAAGTTGTACAGCAAAATTGAACCTGCTACAACTAAAAATGGTGACACAATTACAATTTTAAGAATTCTTGTTAAAAATGTTCTACACACAACAGACATCTAGTTTTTTTAACATTTTTTTCAGATGTGTGTTTACTATTATACCTATCATAATTTTTTAAATATTACAAAAACCCGTTACACCAGATCAAAACGAGACTTGAACGTGAGCGAAATCTCAGAAGAGTACATCCTTAAAGGAAGATTGTTGTGGACAAAACAAACAAATGTAGTAGAAACTGGGTTGTTTTTGACATAATACATTGGATATATAACGTTCTAATCGATAACACTATCACAGTGACGGTATACCATCTAAATATGGCATCCACACAGGCCTATTAATGATATCTATGACCAAGTTTTAACAAAGCGTAGCTGAATTGAGTCATTTCGGTACACATAAAACAACTATTGTACATACGTTTCCAGCGTAGCCGAAATCGACATCGATTTTATAGACAACTCATACACATTTTACACCTTTGTGTGCATACGCTTCATTGGTCATTTGTCTGATGAAGGTGACAGTGTACATATCGTACTAGTCATCGAAACGTCATAAAGTTTTTTTTATTGGTTGTGTAAAAAGAACTTCTCATAATTACACTTATCATTAGTCAGCATTTACTTCAAATAATGTATGTATCATGTATGCTTGTTCAATTAATACAACAGCCATCGCCGGGCATGGCCAGTCGTATCCAACGAAACAATTATGACGACATAATAATGATGACGTCAACAATCGGTATATGGCATCCATAGCCTATATGAAAGCCAACTGAATTTGGAAGGGTTATAAAGTGGCAATGCCATTCGATGGTAAATATCAGTTAATGACATACGGTCCATTGACATGATATTGTAACGCACCAAGGTTTTGGGGCGTTGCGTTCCGTCTAATTCACCGACCTGCGAGAATCCTAAAAAATATACCGGCCGCTACCGGAAATAATCAAGGGGGCTTCTGGGATAG